ACACACACACACACACACACACACACACACACACACACAATGTTTTTGGTGTCAAAATGTACTTGCATATGTATGAACTCTTCAGCAGATACAAAGGTCAATTTTCACCACTTGCATTTATTTTGAATTTTTTCCTTTGCCTATTTGTATGTGTTCCTCTCATCACACACAAAAAGAAATATCACACCCAGTACAAAATGGAAAGAATAGTATTCCAATATTGTGAAAAAGGGGTCATTTCCATAATTATTATGAAATAAAACTGCATTTATGTGAGATTTTCTCAGCACTGGAACAAGCACGTTGTTGCCATATTGCAGCAGCCATGTAGTCTTTTTCCCTACTTCTTCAAAGATTGAATTTTTATCCAAGAAACCTTAAATCCCCTTTAAATGTACTTTAAACACAAACGAGAGAAGGCAAAGAGAAAGGGCCCCGTTAGCCAAATCAAACTTTCCACCATCAACATTTTCATCATCAGGCCTTTTGTGATGGAAAAAAAATAAATAAATCTCTTCTACCTACTATACATGGGTATGGAGGTTCAATCTGTCTTTCAGACAATCGCTTCTTTTTAAACACTGTGTACTGCACAGTGGCAGTGTTGTAAAGTGATGGAAGAGCAGATATGCAGTCATACACACAAGCACACTAGAACCGTCACTTCATTACATTTAAGACACTAAATCAGAGAGATAAACAAGAAATCCTCGCTAACGTCTTGAAGGCCACCAGTTGACTTTTTAAATGAAATTATTTGAATCATATCTATACACAATTGTATATATATTAACCAGGTCTAACCCCTTATTTTTTTTTTCACCAAAGCACACAATGCTGTGGATGACAACAGGAACACTATATTATCTCACAGGGTGTTCAGCACAAAACCTGCTCTGCTGCTGATCTGACAGACTTGAGCAGAGAGACTAGAAACAATGATCAACCCATGATTTGGAAGCACTGCGCATTTCATTTCCTCCCCCCTCAGCCTGACCCCGAGTCAATGCAGCACAACATTTGTTTGTTTTGTTCCAGTCCTTTCCGATGTGTGACGGCAACAAGGTGTTTAGGTGCTAAGATTCTAGGTGACAGGAACCGAAATGGGATGAAAAGGGGGGGGGCAGAGGAGAAACCCTGCTCCCCCGCTGGATCAGACAGCAGCGACAGTCCTGGAGATCTCTTAGAACAGAGAGCCACTGGAGGGAGTCAACTGTCCAGGTGGGAGGTGTGGGACTTCGATGTATCAGTCTCTTTGTGGGCACTGTGCCGTCAATGCCGAGGTCAAAATATGTCCAGACAGCCCTCCCAGCTGCCACGGTCCTTGGCTTCCCAATAGCCTCCCTTATAGATATGGATTTGCTCACCTGTGATCTGGTCCTCACAGCGCTCGAACCAAAGTGCCTGGTAGCTGTCATGAGGCGCGCCTGGAAGACAAGACAAATTGTGTTCGCAACAAAAAAAAAGACGAAACAATCTAGATAGAAGATTCAAACGGAAATGAAAGCGTGAGGAGGCGGCAATGTAGTAGTACTTGCTTTTTAAGGACGGATCAGTAAGAGAGTCCTCATCGACAGCTTTTGGAAGAGAAAAGGGGGAATCATAGAATTTTTTTTCCCCTTTATTCCATGATTTTCCCCATGCATGGTAGAGAGGAATACAGATACCACACACTAGACACTCACCTTCTTCTGACTGGCTGGAGGTGCGTTGGCTGGCAGCTTCCCTCTCTCGCTCCCGCCGGACGCTGCGCTGCTTCTCCTCCAGCCGCTGCTTCTCCGAGTTGGCCTCGTCCCAGCGGCCTTCCTCCATCAGACGCTGGTCGGGCCGCCGCCGGCTGTCGGTGGGAGCCATGCCCTCCTCGAGCTCGTTTAGGGTCAGCGCCAAGGCAGTGAAGTAGTACATGGTCTCCGCTCCCTCACTGTGGTAGAGCAAAGAGGAAGACCAGCACTGAAAGTCAAAGGGCCGAGTAGACCTTTAATCCAAACGCACATGGACCATAGATCCAGCTCTACTTCTTCGTTCTCTGGACCGAGGGCAGACCGGAGCTACAGAGACTCACTGTAGCTTCTCGAGGTACAAGTAGTTCTACAAGAAAGGCAGTACCTTAGCGGTATGATTACATTTTTGCTGGATCACTGACGTCTTTTTAGTGCTTTTCAGTCCGTCATAATATTTAGAGCACAACGTTACGCACACCTGACCATGCACTGATGGTACTTACGGTAGAGGGTTCCTCCTCCAAACCTCTCTGGCTTTGAGGGTTTGGTAGACGGTCTTCTGTTTGCCCTCCGTGCCATTCTCTCCTCTGCTGCTCTGCATTACCCGCGAAAACTCCATCTTCTCATCCCACGTGCCTGACAGCACGTAGTGGGCCTTGCCGTCCTTGTCCGTCACCACACCTGTCACCTGAAGAGAGAACAGAGAGAGAGAGAGTTAACAGGGGAGTGAAGCATCATGGGTCTTTTAAGCTAAAAACACTGGTCACAGGGTGGAAGGCATGGAAGTCTTCCTGTAGTGTGGTTATACCCAATAAGTTGTATGTTGTGGTTATGAGCAACCTGTGTTGCCGGCGTCCCGTTGCTAAATCCAACTTGTATTGCATTAAAAACGGCAATAAGTCAACGTTTTTAATATTATGTTTGTTGAGAAATGAACTAACAGATCCACTTGAGTGTGACAGGCCGTGCCCAATTTACTGCGCAGCTGAAGCCAGCGACATGAAAGGAGATGAACTTTTAGAAGAGGCAGGAGGTGGAAAAGGCGCACATTGTGTTTGTTTACTACACAGTTCGTGCGTGTTTAGGGTGACGAAACCAGAGCGGGTTACGCCAGTCAGTGTATTGCAAGCTCAGAATGAAGGTTGAAGTAGGGGGTTGGGAGGATGTGATGGGGCCACTTGCCAGCCACACATCACATGCTGTCGCGGCCTTTTTCCCCTCCCTCACCTTCCTGGCAACATCTCTGGAGAAGTAGCTGTAAGGCGCAAACTTCAAGTGGCAGCGGTCTCCGGTGGTGTGATTCACCACGTCAATCTCCCCCGACTGGCAGAAAGGACGAAAAAGAAAGTTTCGAAGTAAATTGCTGACACTGGAGACATTTTCAAACGAGTAAAAGTTTAAACTTCCATTCAGGGTTGGCAGCACGACGATAAAGACACTGTGTACACATGTAAGTCTGGCACCGCTTTCAAAGGATTTGTGTGTCACCTACAAAAACATGTGTAGCACAATGCAAGGCTCATTGTCAACAATAAGAAGTAGAAAACAATGCTGTGCAATTTCTCCAGTGTATAAAAAAACATCAAATGCGTCAAAATTGTATGTATAAATGTGTCATCTCACTTTTAACTCTCGTCAGTCTCACCTGATCGATCCATAGCTTTCCTACGATGATGTTGTGCACTGTGGTGGTAACTTTCTTCCATGTGTAGTGATTGTTGCCCCTTTCAAAGATTGCGTGTATTGTGCCTGTGAGGAAAAACAAAATGGAGACAGAGAAAACGTGAATAAGTTTCCCCAAACAAAACAGATGGTTGACCTTTCAACCGACAAAAGGTGTGCTCTCTGTCACATTCCGCAGGCCTCGTGAACTTATCTCTCACAGGAACACCGACTGACTTGTGCATTCCATACGAGTTTAGGAAAGGCTGCGAGGACATTAGTGACAGCCTCAGCTGTGTTCGGATTGCAAAGGCATGCATAGTATGTTCTGAACCACACCGTCTCTTACCTAAGGGCATAATGGAGATGTATTTTCCCCTGAACTTGCTGGCAACAGTGATTTCCTGCCTCAGGGTCCAGCCACGATCAGAAATCACATGATGCGCTGCTGCAGGGGGGTGGTGACTCACCTGAGAAAAAGGTTTAAGATGTGAAGGGTACAATTAGTTTTAAAAATAGAATAAAGCTGTACGCATCACAAAGGACGGTCTGTCAACAAGTAGAGCATTCGAAACAATTCAACAGCTTATCGGTTGAGATTCAACAATTCCCCTGCATCACTTTGTCTGGAGATGTTTATGACGAAAGGCAAACCAAGTGATCAAACAATAAGCCTCCATCTGTGTCCTGCTGTCGCCCTCCACAAATCTTTTTACCCCCCAAAAAACGAAAATGGACGTAGCTTTTTTTTGTGTGCACCAAATGATCACAAAAGATTATATTTTCATCAGATACTTGTAAAGTTATGTCAAAATGCCGCCATTACGATATTAATAATACGTTTAGAGTTTAAATTGCTACCACAAATAATTACAATCAAAGATGTAATCATGTCCGTTTACCACGACTCCTCTAACCTTCAATTATGATAAACATGCCCTTCAAGCCCTGATTTCTTTCGACACATAATACTTCCTTCTCTGTTTATCCCTCAAAGAATCCAAAAAGGAAGCAACATACTGTCAAAAACGCTGAGTCAGTGGGATTATTGTTCATTCATTCATTCTTTGTTTCTTCAGTTTCACTTCCATGGCTTTGTCTCTACATCTTGCTGTGTTACTTGTTCCTCTCACCTGCTCGCAGAGGGAGCGGTAGCCGCTCTCTCTCCGGCGGTCCAGCTCATACGTCTCTCCCAGCAGAGGGTTGAAGGGTTTGCCCGTGCGGTAGACGGTGGTCGAGTAGGAGGACACGGAGAAGGCGGCCACGTGGCACATTTGCTCCAGCGGACTCTGGCACTTGGAAGCCTTGTCCAGGAGCTCGTGGTACTCGAGGTCCTCCGACAACCGCTGCAGCATGGATATGGGCTCGTTGAAGTTTACCTGGAGGGCGGAGCGATCCGGAGATGGATCGATGTTAGCGGTTCCTCTCATTCACAGTGCCCATAACATTTAGTTTGAAATTATACTCTCACGCCCACTTACACATGTAAATATACGGCGTGCACTTATACTATATAACATATAGTTCATTATATATTATACTATAGCCCTACCAATACTGGATTCTTGAAGCCGATACCGATATTGAAATTTGATTTTAGTTTTGTTAAATGTGATAACGATATATCGGCTAATCTAAAAACATTACCACATACTATAAACAAAGCATCTTGATGAGGATCCCTCTTTTGTGACCAATATAGATACTGAGCAGGCTTAATATTGTGATGTACCGTTTGTATAATGAGCACATTGTATGATTGTATGATATACAGGTGCTGGTCATATAATTAGAATATCATCAAAAAGTTGATTTATTTCACTAATTCCATTCAAAAAGTGAAACTTGTCTATTGTATTCATTCATTACACACAGACTGATATATTTCAAATGTTTATTTATTTTAATTTTGATGATTATAACTGACAACTAAGGAAAATCCCAAATTCAGTATCTCAGAAAATTAGAATATTACTTAAGACCAATACAAAGAAAGGATTTTTAGAAATCTTGGCCAACTGAAACGTATGAACATGAAAAGTATGAGCATGTACAGCACTCAATACTTAATTAGGGCTCCTTTTGCCTGAATTACTGCAGCAATGCGGCGTGGCATGGAGTCGATCAGTCTGTGGCACTGCTCAGGTGTTATGAGAGCCCAGGTTGCTCCGATAGTGGCCTTCAGCTCTTCTGCATTGTTGGGTCTGGCATTTCGCATCATCCTCTTCACAATACCCCATAGATTTTCTGTGGGGTTAAGGTTAGGCGAGTTTGCTGGCCAATTAAGAACAGGTATACCATGGTCCTTAAACCAGGTACTGGTTGCTTTGGCACTGTGTGCAGGTGCCAAGTCCTGTTGGAAAATGAAATCTGCATCTCCATAAAGTTGGTCAGCAGCAGGAAGCATGAAGTGCTCTAAAACTTCCTGATATACGGCTGCGTTGACCTTGGACCTCAGAAAACACAGTGGACCAACACCAGCAGCTGACATGGCACCCCAAACCATCACTGACTGTGGAAACTTTACACTGGACCTCAAGCAACGTGGATTGTGTCTCTCTCCTCTCTTCCTCCAGACTCTGGGACCCTGATTTCCAAAGGAAATGCAAAATTTACTTTCATCAGAGAACATAACTTTGGACCACTCAGCAGCAGTCCAGTCCTTTTTGTCTTTAGCCCAGGCGAGACGCTTCTGACGCTGTCTGTTGTTCAAGAGTGGCTTGACACAAGGAATGCGACAGCTGAAACCCATGTCTTGCATACGTCTGGGCGTAGTGGTTCTTCAAGCACTGACTCCAGCTGCAGTTGAATCGGTTTTGTTTCACAATCCTCTCCAGGGTGCGGTTATCCCTATTGCTTGTACACTTTTTTCTACCACATCTTTTCCTTCCCTTCGCCTCTCTATTAATGTGCTTGGACACAGAGCTCTGTGAACAGCCAGCCTCTTTTGCAATGACCTTTTGTGTCTTGCCCTCCTTGTGCAAGGTGTTAATGGTCGTCTTTTGGACAACTGTCAAGTCAGCAGTCTTCCCCGTGATTGTGTAGCCTACAGAACTAGACTGAGACCATTTAAAGGCCTTTGCAGGTGTTTTGAGTTAATTAGCTGATTAGAGTGTGGCACCAGGTGTCTTCAATATTGAACCTTTTCACAATATTCTAATTTTCTGAGATACTGAATTTGGGATTTTCCTTAGTTGTCAGTTATAATCATCAAAATTAAAAGAAATAAACATTTGAAATATATCAGTCTGTGTGTAATGAATGAATATAATAGACAAGTTTCACTTTTTGAATGGAATTAGTGAAATAAATCAACTTTTTGATGATATTCTAATTATATGACCAGCACCTGTATATTATCAGGTTGAGTTTGATGTAAGATTAGGTTAGGGTATGTTTGTGACGAGGACGGCTTTTGGCTGATGTGTAACGACAAAGAAAAGAAGGAAAGAGACGAGGTAGTGAGACTACAAACAATGATAAGTAGTAATAATGACGAAAACAGAGGATGTGGCCGTTTTTTTGTTTTTTTTAAATATTTTCGTCGACATGTTGGCTTGAATCTGTGTATTTAGTTTTTCCTCATTTACTGTGTTAATGTTCAGCCAAAGTGTGTTACGTGCAGTTTGTTGATGACTGCATTCAGCCAAACCAAACACATATCAGGTTTTGTGCCTCGAATAAAAACTGTTACTATGAATTATCGTTTGTATTTCTGCTGCGCTGACTGAAGAAGTGCTGTTGGAGGAGAGGAGCATGCGTAGTCAAGAAAGGTCACAGGTATCAATCTCCGGTATGTCTCTGAAGGAACAACCAGTACTTGTTTCTGACCGGTCTGTCATTCAACCTGACAACAGAGCTATGTTAACCACCGATGACTCTTACAGAGTGTTCTGCACAGTTTTCGTCAAACCCACGTCACAGTAGAATGCTGCTGCCGCAAGTCTATGATGTACCGATTGTGGTCGTACCACTTTATTAGCTTCTCACGTTGAAAGCATTTTTTGGTGACAATACAAAGACAAAAGTGGGAGCAGCTAGCTGATAGGGGTTTTAGAAGAGGAGGTGGAACTGCCTGAGACCTTTCACTGGAAAGGCTGACAAACAAACATCCTGGAAGTCGCATTTGATTCGGAGTATCCTCTAAAGAGAATACTCACAGGCATCGGGATCTTGGACAGCTCTTTGCCAATACAGTTCTTCATGATACTCCACAGGTTGAGAGAGTAGTTGGGTTTGTCTGAGATGCGTGTCCGCCTCTTCTTCAGTGGTACCAACTCCTGTGAGGGAGATTCTGGGTTCATCGCTAAAGGCTCCTCATTAAGCTAAAAAGGCAGAAAACTGTCAATAAACAAGCGCAACAGCAGATTTCTGGAAATAACAAAGCTTTCGAAACAGATTTACTGTATTTCTTTTGAAAACATGTTTGTAATTTATATTTATAGTAATAAATTATGGTTAGAATCATGTTAATGAGGTGAACCAGTCTTTTAACAGCTATCTTAGAGGCCAGAATGAAACCTACCGATTGATCATCAGGACACATTTCACTGTTGAAACCGCTGATATTACTGCTCGACCTTCTGTGAAGAGATTTAAAAACAAAGAATCTGTAAGTGTCTGAAAATGTTGTGTTTACATTAACTGCCAGCTTGTCATACAAGGAAATGGAGCATAAACTGGGTCAACCGACTCTTGATTCTGCCTAAAGGAGAGGTGAAGCCATCAACCTGTGTGAATTTATCACATCTCATACTGGTTTGTCCTACCAACTGAGTTGAACGAAACAAATACTTGACAGTTTGAATGGCCTGAGGCAATCCAACAGTTAAAAAGCAACTCTTTGTGTGGCTGCATTTGTGGTGTGATGAATGAGTGTGCACTGACTTGTGGAACCGCGGGTCTGCAGGCACAGTGATGAACTCAGGCGCTTCTTCCATGGCATCAAAGAACTCATTGTCGTCATCTTCGTCACTGGCCTCACCTTTTCCCGGCCCAGCAGCACCTTAACGACACACTGCTTTGTCAGTGTATCCCCACACAGAGACTGAAAACCCATTTACAGTTATGAATTAACCCTCTGCAGTGGTGCAGTAGTCACGTCTTACTTTTATTGTCTGTAGTAGCATTAGCCTGTGCAGCCCCTCTGAACGCTCTCTCCAGGTGGTTGTGCTGCTTGGCCAGCTGCTCTAAAGTCTCCTCCAGCCTGACCCGCTGGTCCCGTTCCGCTTGAAGAGCTTTCTGCCAACGCTTGCTGTGACCCTGAGCGAGCGCAAGAAAGTCTCGGCACGCCTGAGGGGGGCAAAACATCCAACAGGGTCAAACTGGAGAACATTGGAACGCGACATTCAATGAATATGAGAATCTTGTACATTGAACACGGACAAGAAATAGATAAACTGAGCGAGGAGGGAGACACCTACATTAATCATGGCATTGGAGGTGATGCGAAACAGCGTGGCCCTCTCTGTCACCTGGCGGATCTTATCCCCAGCCTCCCCAGTCATACGCAAGCTGTCCAGTTCTGATAAAGACCTGCAATGAATATGAAAAATGTACAACGTGAATAAGGAGTTGGGACCATATATCATCAAAACACACTGTAAAAGGCCATCAGCCTCAGACTTAATAGGTTTATTATTATAACTCGTGCTTGTTTTGTCCGTCAACTGCAGTGTTTGTGCATTTACATGCTCTTTTACAAATCAAAGCAACAGTGATATGATATTCTGGACACAAGGCCATTACTTCAAAGAAGGTTTTCTTCATGTCATGTTTTATGGTTTATGTTTTAGATGTATGTGTTTTGGATCCTTCATTCCTATGTAGAGAGAGAAAGAGAGAAAGAGAGAAAGAAAGAGAGAGAGAGAGCAATAGAGTGGTAAAGCCTGACCTCTGGAGGGCAGAGCCATGCTTTGAAATTAGATCGTTGCAGGTGCTGAGGTCCTCCACCTTGCTGCCGAGTGTTCTGAGAGCAGACTGGACTTCTGAATTCTGTGATCCGCCACCTTGTCCGGGTGGTACCGGTGGGGAAGATGGGGAGAAGTCATCCCCCGAGTCATCTGTTTATGATCAAAGCAAAAAACACTTAAGAATAAAAAGGCTTTCACAAGACACTGAATACTTGTCTCCCCCCATCCCCGTCTGCCTGTGTTGTACCTGACTCAGCCTGCATGCGTGCTGCCTTGGCTTTGGCCAGTTCCAGGGCAGTGATCCAGCGCTGACGTTCCACTTCACAGCTGGCCTTCAGGTGATAGGTCTGTGCTCCGCCATTGGAGATGACAAAGTTGCAGGCGTCATCCACAGCGATCGTTGCTGTGGCCAAGTTGATTGTGCCTCGACACGTGTGGCCCATCTCCGCTTGGGTCCTAATAATCAGAGGGGGTTTGATTCGACATTTTGAGGAAAATGTAACCAAGCATAACAAAAACAGCATGTGTACTGATTGTTTTTCGGTGAGTACAATAGCAAAACTTGGGCTTCGATCCGACAAAGGAATTCAACAGGAGGAAATAAAAGTGAATAAATTGAGGTTGATTGCCTTCCTGCTTAATCAACAGCTGATCAGTAGTTTGGTTTCTCTGGTGACATGATCATTGGTATCCTTCAATTTGGTGTGTTTTACAGGAAAGCCTACCTGTAGTAGGACAAAAGCCCATTGCTCAGGACAAACCACCTCCGCTGATAACCCTTGATGTAATTTGTCCACTTGAACACCCATCCTTTGTATGTGTCGCCAGCAGGAGTGGGGGTGGGGGTTTTGGGCTCCGACATCACAGCCCCCAAAATCAAGAGACAGATTTTAGGAACCTTGAAGGGAAATTAAAAGTTAAAAATGTTATTTTAAATGACAGGGCTTGTGTTCTCATATTGGGCCTGAAAGTATTAAACAATAAAGCAGACTGTCTCCAAATTAATCAGCAAATATTTTGTTGATCGATTCATCGTTCAACTTATTCCAGGCAAACAAAATCACAAATTTGCTGCTCCAAGCTTCTCAAATTAGCATATTTTCACTGGTTTTCTTAGTGATAATAAAGTGATCTTGTGTGTGTCAGACAAGGCAAGATATGTTCATATGTCGACTTGGACTTTGTGAAATTGCAATCAGTTAGTCACAGTCTTGCGTTAATACTAAATCATCTCAGCATTTCATTTTACAGTAACGGGACTAAAACACTGCTGATTGATATTGATCTTTCAGTGTGGTATGACAGGTAAAATATTAACCATGGAATCAATACAGATCCCCTGCTGACACGTTTTACTAAGGAAACTTGTTGAAGCCGGAATTAAAGATGTGCATAAAAGAGGGATTAAAACCCCTTAGTGTGATTCTGTCTTCTTAATTGCCCATGACCTGGATAGATATTAATTGACACAGTAGCCAACATTTACAAAAAAAACCTGTGATTGTAATGATATAGTCAGGGAAATGTGACAGTTGTGCAATCAACAAAAGAACATAAAATTGATAAAACTCCCAACATATTGATGAGTATGACACCAGAGGCTAGCCGACGTTAGCTCCGGGTAGGCCAGTGGGAGTCATAGTAGTAACAGCTCATGAAGTACAGAAAACACAAACGTGTCGTGTTTTCTCGAACTTAACCAGCTGACGTGCACATTCACTACATGGTAAAAAGCAAAAGACACGCCGCCAAATGCTCGTTAACTCACTAGCTCGCTTTAAAGCTCGCCGACGGATGACTGTTTACCTTGACGTGTCCGAAAATGTGAGATCAGGCCACCAGACACCCGGGGAAGTCACAGCTAACTTTGACTCCCATACGCTACTATACCTAGCTAGCTGAAGAGGCTAACTAGCTAACTGACCAGCACAGGATCGGCTAATGATGAAAACAATTAAACCGAAGACGTCGACGACACCCGCGTGGTGGTTGTAAAATAAAGTGACACCAACGAGTTTCATTAGTATCCCTCTATAATCGTGTGTTTAGTGTTCATCATACAGCTGCGTACGCGGGTAAGAATCTAAAGCTAGCTAGCTATATCTAACTAGCCTAACGTTAGCTCGTTGGTTATACACGGTGCAACATAATTTGTTCTCGTCTGGAAACAGATGGGCGACATTGTTTTCCGGATGAAACCGTTTCTTTGCCTTCAAAGTAATAGCACATTGTGTCGGTATTATCTCCCGCATAAAAACAAGTCATAATGTCCGTCTCAGTTAAAGGTGATCGAAATATACCATCTGTACTATATACATGCCCATAAATGCATTCCTTTATGCGTGCTTTTAATAACAGAATAGCAGTAAATTAACTGATAACTGTTCCTGTAGTGCACTCTATGATTTGTATTATGCGAATGTTTTATTTTGAAGGATACAATCGGAAACAACCTTGATTGAATCTCGCTCCTTACACATTCATTTGATTCTTTTTACTACTAACTAGCTAGCTAAGCTAACATTTATGTGAGCTATATAATGTCAAATAGATTCATATTATAATATATGCAAACTACTGTACAATGTTTAGAGCGCATTCACTACAGATAGGAACGCATATTAATGAGTAACCCTTCTCGTTTATGTAAACGTTTGAACAAGCTGGCTCTCTACCTTTCAAAGGACACTATTTCAGTTTACACAAAAAGAACTGTAAACTCTTGATATGTGCGTGTTTTCGTTAATATGTAACTAACATATCGCTATAGGGTTTCAATAATCAAAAAAATCGACTCCGGTGGGACTCGAACCCACAACCTTTGAATCCCTTCGGATCAACCTAGAAGTCCAATGCGCTATCCATTGCGCCACGGAGCCACTTGTTGCATATGAAAAGCTACGTTGTATTTAGAGATACTCCTGATCTACTGTGGTATTAAAGGGACCGGAAGTATGGATTATAGACTGTTAGTAATTTATGGACGTTGGTGTTGTGTTAACTCGAGCGAAAACCGACATTTGCTCCACAAAACAACACATTTGGGAACAAATAATGAACCTGCCTTGTGAGATGTTAAACAGCAGGTGGCGCTAAAGCTCCATTCACAACACGCTAGAACAGTTTATTCTACTTATGATGACAATAACTCCAGCTAAATAAGAATAATGAAAATGAAACGTGTCTTCAAAGGGTGAATATGTAACAAGTGATGTGATTACAGCTCACTTTTCGGAGTACACAGTGAACTGGTAGAGGTGGGTAAACACTCAAGACTTCGGACCTGCGGGGTCTTGAACTGGTGGCTTTGCGGTTCCCTACCGAGTCACCACGTAGTTTGCTACTGCCGCCTATTTTATACAAACAAATAGAATTTAATTGAGGTAATGTCTAGCAATTGCCTTTTCAAATCAATATGAAACACTGAAACGCTGAAACGCATTCAACACACTTTTGTCTTAACCAAAAGATGTTTATTCTGCACCAACCTCAAAAGGGTCCAACATTTGAGTCGCGGTCCCTGCCACCCGTGAGTCGACCTAATTCTTGGTTGTGACAGCCAATTACATTTCCACCTGTAACCACAAATCAATCAGAAATTGTCCGCGGTGGCCAATCAGCGCTTGTATCGCAACCAAGAATTAACCAAGAATTAACCAATCGACGTCTTCGAGTCCTGTATTTAATAGTATTAGCTTGAAAATGTACTTTTCATGTACAACAAGTAAAAGTGCTCATTCTGCACAACGGCCCATTTCAGTATAATATTGCATAATGCATCGATGTGTAAGTATCACTTTAATGTTGCAGCTGGTAAAGGTAGAGCTTCTTTCTTTTTTTTACTATACTGCCAGGAAGCTGGTGAATTTCACCACCAGTTTTATTTTAACCGTATAATAATACATGATAAAATAATTGTTGATTATATGTTGTATTATTGTTAAGAATCTTTAAAGTAACTAAAGATATCAAATAAATGAAGTGGGGTAAAAAGTACAATATTTGCCTCTGAGATGCAGTGAACTAGAAGTATAAAGTAGCATAAAATGGAAAAAAAAACCCAGGTAAAGTACAAGTACTTCAAAATTGTACTTATTTAAGAGCTCTATAGAAAGCAGTGTTTCAGTGTATGTGTCTGGGCTTTTATTGTGAAGGATACAACGGAAGAAGGGGAAGAGGAAAAAGGTTATTGTGGAGTGTGTGAAAAGAGAATAAAGTGGTTACCATCTTGGTGCAGACTACGGAGCCCCGTGTTATTATTTTATTACTATTATAAAGTATAGGCGCAACATAACCATCGGCTACATTGGTATGTAGTGTTTTCTGCATATGCGTACACATCCGGTCTGGCAGACAGGAGCCCGGATGTAGACGGCGGTCTCCCTCTTGACTCCCCTGCGTAGTCTTTGATATATCCTGCCATTAGCGGAAGTGTCTGGGATTCTGCTCCGATCTTCAATTTGGTCGTTTGCAAAAGGGGGAGACGGGGCGAACACGGACGCCGTGTGCATTTAGCCAGTCTGCGCTACTTCTATCGACTCCATTCGGCGTCGCCGTGCGTCGTTTAATGTTTAGCTCTACATCAGCACGGGGCATGCGCTGTCAGGTCAGGCTCGTACTACATCCGACTTGCGTAATTACTGACAAACTAACATGAGAATAGCTGCATTTTTGGTGATAGCACGGATGCGCATTTATTTCTAATGGACGTGTTTTGTTTATAGGTCTGCGCAATCAACGTGTACGCCTGCCCGGAAACAGTAGAGGATTAAGTTACTGCTGCTGGCGGAGGATTATTTTTATTGGCCTCGTCACGCCCGAGTCTTTAGTGATCCGTTGTCCAATTAGGAGAAGTCGAAAGCCAGGTATGCTATTGTGCTCGATCATAACAACCTTGTCGTTTCCTTAAAATGCCTCAGTCTGGTACCAACTATGCGTTGCTGCGCACGCATACCGTTACGCACCGCAAAAGCCATATTATCGCGCATTGTGTGCAGGCAACAATAGAAACCAATATAAATGGTGTAAAATACTATGTGGATATCTTGTAACTATATAGAAGGGAATTAAAACCACCGTTATACAATAGGAGAATAGTATTTAATGGCCGTACACGGATGGAAGTGTACTACTACACACAGCTGCATGGCTGTGGAGCTGTTTTATCCTCACAAGCAACTGGGGGGGATGGAAACGACAATCTGCATACATGCTAAAATACAATTTGCTTTGACAACTGTGAAGCGTTAGGTAGATTGCATAGAGTTGCTAGCTCTGACTGCCCCCCCCTCCCTCACTGTGCCACGGCATGTTTTGGTTTCAGGCGGATCATGCCCTTTTGTCCACTGAAGCTTTTCAGGACAGACTCTGTCTGAAAGAATTTGGCCTGCTGTTTTGATAACGTAAAGGTGTTGGGGATGTGTTGAATGAGCTGTGAAATAACTGAATGTACAATGGGTTTTTAATGAGCTGTCAGAAAGCCACATCGGAGGTCATTTGTGCCGCTTTCTAGGAATGGAAAAAGACTAAAGAAGTCATTTATCGTGTGTGTGTTGGTGTGTTTTATTTCCATGTCAAACATTTTGCCCACCTCACATGGGATTACAAAACGCAGCTAATTATTAAACTCCAAAAGTATAACGAGACATCGTCCAGTTACACATCAACAAAAAAGAAAAACATCAGTTTTGATATTATGAGCACTGCAGTATACTTTGAACAAATTCAGAATAGCAGAAGTCAGAAAAGAAATGCTTCAAGCCAAAAGTTTATAGTTTTTTGTTTGTTTGTTGTTTTCTTGTTTTTTATGTGAACAGTCAACTCAGTCTTTCAAGCATGATCCATGTTTTTTAACAAAAATGTTTTGTTTCTAATCTTTAAACGGTATTATTTAGTTCCCAGTGAAACAGATTTAGAATATTTAACTGTCCATGCCATTAAGGTGGAACATTGAAGCAATGTGCAGCAGTGCCTGTAACTGTAAATCGTCTCCACAGACATGTCTTTCCGGCGCGGTGTGGTCCGGCAGAGCAAGTTCCGCCACGTCTTCGCCCAGGCGTGGAAAGCTGAGCACTGCATCGACGACGTCAGAGTGTCCCGCGTGACGTGGGACACCGGCCTCTGCGCGGTCAACCCCAAATTCATCGCCGTCATCATCGAAGCCGGCGGAGGAGGCTCCTTCCTCGTTGTGCCGATCAGCAAGGTGCACGACCCCTCTCTGTTTCATATCGGCATCAAATAGACAAGAGGATCAATATCTTATTTTTAAAGCTTCTATCATGTTTCCTATCTTCCACTCTGCTACTAAAAGCAATGTGTCAGCAAGTCTTTCGACGCCTCGCTCCATGTCCGGCTAATGCACACGCAGCACTTTTAGAGTTCCCAGACCAATAGGGAAGAAAGGTTTTACCGACTAGTGTCGTGATCTTAACTTTTTTTTGTTTTCTCCCACAGAGCGGCAGAGTCGACCAGGCGTGTCCCACGGTGTGCGGCCATGCAGCACCGGTGCTGGACATCCAGTGGTCTCCTCATGACGACAACATCATTGCAAGTGCCTCAGAGGACTGCACAGTAAAGGTAGGTTAACGCTTGTATTCCCTCTTTCTTGTCAATAGTTATATAAGAAGATTGATATATGTTAGCTACGATACGGTAAGCGAGCAGAAATTAGGAATAAAGTGTTTCAACCTAACATTCCTCATTGCTTTTGCCTGAAGAGCGTTTCCGTCAAAGTCACCAAGAAGCTATTGTATGTCAATGCGTTGCTTAAAAAACACAGTAGCTCTCGTGCACCTGAATTCACAAACAAATGTCTGCTGTGCCCGGCGATTTGAAGGTGTGGCAGATCCCAGACGGGGGCCTGACGAGCCCAATGACTGAGGCCATTGTGAACCTGGAGGGACACAGTAAAAGAGTGGGAATCCTGGCTTGGCACCCAACCGCTTTCAATATCCTCTTGACTGCAGGTAACCTCACTCATCACAGTCTTTCCTTCTCACTTCCCTTGTCAACAAATACTGACAAATACCGTGATAAACGTGGCTGTTATGTGCTAACACGTCATGTGTTACGCTTAGTGGGAACACGACAGAAAATTGCAGGTGAACATTTCATATCCAGGAATTCGCATTCATTATTGCTGTAACAATTTGGTCACAATTTAGCACATTGACCATACATGGGCCAGTCGTTTACTAGGTTTCCACCTAGAGTCGTATTCTGATTGGTGCTCAGAAGTACATGATATCATCCTTCTCCAACTGAGCTCTGTCAAACCGTGTGACCAAGACATCTTCACATTAACCAAAACCGGTCACACGTCGGCAGAATTTGTGGCGAAAATATGTTTTCACAACCTTTTTTTAAAAATAACTGACTCATCCTTACAGTGAAATAATCATTTTTTGTGTGTCCCACTCCGTCTGTAAAGGTTTAGCTTCCTGTTGTTTTCAGCATGGTACTAACTTGCATTTAGATTTCCTGTCCTCCTCTTGGTATACAAAGCTCTTCATGGCATTGCTCCTTACGTTCACGTTCCTGCATTTGTGTCTTCCTCTCTCCAGGCTGCGATAATGTGATTTGTGTGTGGAACGTGGGCACGGGGGAGCTTGTGTACCAGCTGAACGACACCCACCCAGACCTCATTTACAGTGTCTGCTGGAACAAGGACGGCAGTGCCATCTGTACCGTCTGCAAGGACAAGGCTCTGCGAGTCATCGACCCGCGACGGGGCACTGTCGTCAAGGTGATGCCACATTTCTTGCCATACAAAAGAGGTTATGCCACACTATGCCGTGCATGTGGATGCTGGGGCTCTCCTATTTGCAATGTCCTGTTCTTGTTCTCCCAGGTGAAGGAGAAGGTCCATGACGGCACCAGGCCAATGAGAGCCGTGTTCCTCTCCGACGGGAAGATCCTCACCACAGGCTTTAGCCGCATGAGTGAGAGACAGCTGGCGTTGTGGGATACGGTCAGTCTTGCGTCCATATTGAATGATTCTTCAGGGCACAATTTGTTCAATGCCAACTTTCAGAGTCAGTGTGGGAAGTAGTGCATAATTTATTTAGTGAGATTGTATGCATGCAATCACAAGTTGTGTTGTAAAATAAATGTTTTGTGCTTTCTTTCTTTTTTTTTTTTTTTTTTATTACAGAAGGATCTCTCTGAGCCAATGGCAGTACAGGAGATGGACACAAGTAACGGGGTCCTTCTACCCTTTTATGACCCTGACACAAACATGGTGTACCTGTGTGGAAAGGTAGGAAGCTAAGGATTGTGTTGAGCGCACACAGAGTTACACAAATGTTAAAAATTCGTATCGATTCATTTTTGTCTCAGTGGTCTTAATTAGGTTCTCTGCTGGCTTTCAGGGGGACTGCACCATCCGGTACTTTGAGGTGACAGACGAATCCCCGTATGTTCACTTCCTCAGCTTGTACAGCAGCAAGGAGCCGCAGAGAGGAGCAGGCTTCCTGAGTAAAAGAGGCGTCGATGTCAACAAGTGTGAAATTGCCAGGTAAATATGTTTGGTCATGTTCTCCTTGATATTCTTTTAATCACTTTAAAAATATCTTTAAATGGCTGGCGATGAATTATATATTTTTCCTGAGACAACAATACAAAACAAGAATAAATTGACCCATAAAGTATTGCCTTGGAAGCCAAAACCTCATGTAGCTTAGCCCTCTATTATTACAACTAATACAAATAAATAAATAAGCCACATTTATCCTTTATTACCAGGAACATTCTTACTATCACACCAAATGTGTAATACTCCGCAGCTGAAAATAGTCCCCAACAAATGCACCACTTACTCCTCTTTGAGTAACATTTGCTTAAAAACTACAGTGCCCAGCTTTTATAGGACGTTACTGAGCCTTTATTTAAAGTGAAACTATGCGTTGCATTTCCTGTATATGTATAAGATTGAGGCTTAGTGCCACAGTTAGCATCAATAAGTAATAAAGCATTTAGATGCATGTTTTTTTTTTTTTTCATGGGCTTTGTAAACCATAAAGAAAGCCTTATGCTTTAATGAGATTACTCATTTCCTGGTCTTCTGTAGGTTCTACAAACTGCATGAAAGGAAAGTGGAACCCATTTCTATGACTGTACCACGAAAGGTAAGCCATGCATGTTTTTATTTAAAAAAAGGAAGTGAAAGCAGCATTTGGTTATCCATAACTGTATAATAAACACTTTTCTGTCTCCGTCTCTCCTCCCCAGTCAGATCTCTTTCAGGTAGACCTTTACCCGGACACAGCCGGCTCAGAGCCGGCTCTCCTGGCCGACGAATGGATTGCCGGACAGGATGCACCGCCCCTGTTGGTCTCTCTGGGCGGCGGCTACTCGGCTCCTCCGTCCAAGCACAGAGACACCCTCAGAAGCAAACCCAAGCTGGTCTCGCAGGACTCCGGGGCCGCCCCGCCTTCAACAGGCAATGCAGCAGCCCCCACATCCACACCTTGCTCTGCCGCCAAGGAGGCGGAAGAAGAGGTGCCACAGCCGCGAGTAGCCACAAGGGAGACGGATGGAAATACCGAAAGGCCGAAGAGAGAGGCGAGTTGAGACGTATTGACCGTACCAACAATTTAAGTGCTCCAAGTTTGTTGTCTGACTTGTTCCTTCTCTCCTTCTTGCAGGACGAATTGTTGAACGAGTTGTTGGCAGAAATGAAGGCCCTGCGAGCCGTCGTCCTCGCCCAGAGCCAGAGAATAGAGCTACTGGAGAGGCAGCTGGCTCGAATCGAGGACGGGGATGTGTGAGCGAGGCGGAGGACCACTACATTCGGAGGGCACACTCACTAAATCCACAGACCGTAGCCTTACTAGAATCAACAGTACCTTAAGCTGTGCGAGTGGAAGAATGTAGTGCAGGGGTAGCGACTAACTCTGGATCACGGTGGCTCACAAACAGGTCAAATATTGCGACGAAAAGGAGACAGCTGATCATTTCTGTGATTGTTTTGCAGACTGTGGTTGAGAACCGGGGTTATCATCTAGGTAGAGTGAATTCTGACAGTGAGATAATATTTAGTTTTGTTTTTTTCATATGAAGGAGTATTGTAGCAGCTATTCGGTGGTACATATAGTGCAGCTTTGAGCTTTGCAAAATCCCCACACTAATATTGAAGGGCTTTGAAGGTGTTACAGTTCCAGAAATGCCTCACGTTAATGCACGAAGTAGTGATTCAAAGCGTTGTTTTTAAAGTTAATGAAGGTGGACATACTATAGCAAGGCAAATGAGTACCTCCAACATGATTTTCTTCCCCTAAAGCACTCACAAATATAACCATTAGGGCTATTTAATCAAGTAGTTAAAGCTGCTAAACTGTGATGTCATATCGGGCCACTCCCTCAACTGTTACTCGTTGTGTGACTTATGCTTTATTTTACTGCTTCATTGTAGGACGCCATGTGTAAGGTGAACCGTAGGAAACTATGATGGTACACACATCCTGACCGTGAGAGTTATGTGACTGATAGCTGATGAGAGTGTAGCTGAATATGTATGTGTATTTTAATTCTGTGTTGTCTTTGCGGTCAATGAAAAGGTAGCACTTGTGATTTCTTTTTTTTCTTCTTTTTCTTTTTGTACCTCATGTTATCAGGAGCGAGCTGCGGCTTTACGAAGGTTTCTGTAATATCAAAAGGCATAGTATTTGTCCACTTAATCATTAAAAATACGCAGAAATACTTGCCTCTTTGCGCCCCCTAAAGAACCAGGATTTCGAGTTTAGTCGTCGGTTGTCCTCGAGCTGTAATAAGCTAAAATGAGAGGTGTTCGGTGGACTCGGCCCAAGTTGTGCTGTATACAAATGTAACCTGACCGCATATGACAGTGCAGTCTCACACTAGCTTTATTCAGAACAGCAGATCATAGAAGAGGAAGTTACTGTGAAATGGGAAGCATTTTTTACAGTTTGCAATTGCATTTGTATTGCTTTTAAAGGATAGAAAGATCTTTTTTAATTTAATTATTATTTTTGTGTTTTTTGCCATTTACATTTAGAGGCATTCTTCTGTTACATCCCCGTCAGTCAATGGTCGTGTAACAATGGTACATTCCACATAGAGCTTATCCCTTTATTACTTACTTTATATTTCTTTATGCACTGACCTCACAACACTAACTGTACAACTAGTAGCAGATTAAATGAGGCTACATTGTGAAAACTTAATAAACATGCATTCCTCCTTTGTATTAAAAGAAATGTTGTGATCATGATCACATATTTGTGGTGTTTGTGATAATTATTGGTCGACTTATGTTTGGATAGTCTGCATGTTGAGTGTGTTAGCTGTGTGTTAAATAGACATATGGACACACACAAAACACATTTCCTCCATACAGGATGTAACACCCTGACTATTTCTCACATTTTATATTGGCTTTTTTTGCCATTGTCTGAATTCATCATATTTAAGTATTCTTAAAGGGACTGTTTAACATTCTGAACATTAATATAGCAGCAGACAACTATCTGCTATCTAAAGATATCGAGGAGTAATGCCTGCCTGCACAGAGCAGCTTTGTTGACATAGCCAGGTGGGCAGCACGTGCTTTTAGCGCTTGTGAGCATGCGCCACCGCTCAAGCTCTCATATGGGGGTTACAGCAGTGGCGGGCCGTGCATTTTATACCTGGGCCTTCAATGCTGTCCTGCAGCTGAATACCACCTTATAACCACATTACAGCAGAAGACGATGTCCAAAAACTTGATGCCACTCATGTCTGTACAGTAAATATGTAGCTATGGCTAGCTAGCGTAGGTTAGCATAAAGCAGGGGGGAAACAGCTGGCTTGGCTCTGTAAAAATGACAATTTCCTGTTTTATTGTGGTTATGTGTTGGATTATTTCTTTCGGCGGAGCCAGGCAAGCTGTTTCTCTCTAATTCCAGTCCGTCACCTAAAGTAAACGGAGTATCTAGCCAAGAAGGACAAAAGAAGGCCACGTGCGCAATACATTATATAAGTAACAATCATTTTATTAAAATAGTTCGAGAGAAATCCAAAAACCTGTCGAGTGTGACCTGAAGATTTCAGCTGCTAAAGGTTCACCCAACTGGAGCACATTTTTATTTCAGATTAACATGGATTTTGTTGTAGCCTATTAACTGTATCAACTCCAATAAACATTTTGTGAACACATGAATTAGAATCAGATTACATTTTCCTTGCAGAAGTATAGAACTCTATAACCATGTTTGACCTCAAAAGACACAAGAACGGAAATATACCCACATCCCCATTAAATAAAGCAGAGAAATAAGACTGTCGTGATTGTTTTCATCTCATAATTCAAAACAAATAAATAAAAATATTTGATAACACTTTAATACTGTTATTTTTACACCGATCTCTCACTGAGTATATGGTGTAAAATGACTGTACTGATTTGATATGACTGCCTTTGTTGGGCGTCGGTGTTGTGGCTGCCTGGCCTCCAGAGAGAAAACAGGATGTGGTCTTCTTGTTTCAGTTTACGAAGCGGTGCTCTTCGTGTTCTTAGTTTAAATCTGTAGTGTAGATTAAAAACCTTTATATTTTTTGTGTAAATCAAAAAGACTTATCTGGATCATGGTTTCGTTTTTGGGTTGTCTTGGGCTCACATAACACGTTTAGACTCCAGTTTTCCAGTGTAAGATCAAAAATACTTAAATTTTACTTTAAAAAGTAAGTCAAATTTGAATGGTACGATTTTTTAACAAAGCATGGCATCATGCTGACCTCAGCTGCCCTTTGTGTAGTTGGGCTGTAATCGACAAACCACCAATGGTTGAAATGTGTAAAAGGAAATAAACCTACTGTATCATGTATTTCCTGTGACTTCTAGTCAGTGAAGAGGAAAATGTTTTAAAATGCACTTGATATTTGCTGCATAATGCAGTCTGCAGCTGTGCTGCAAACTGAAAGTCAACTTTGCAGGGAGAAAATAACAAAAGTCTTCCTCTTTTCATAAATAATTGCACATTTTCTCAGGCTCTCTGTGCTTGATTTTTTCTTTAATCTGTGTCCTCACCCCCTCCAGCCTCCTCCTACCTCAAAGGGCTGCAGCAAACTTTCTTCACCACATTTCATGCATCAGCCCCTCTCTCGTTTTTATCATCTCCTCCACACACACACACACACGCTGTCGCACAGTTCAAAATTAGAAAGGAAGTCACCAGTCAGTCTCTTAGCAGCGTTCCCGTTCGTCAAACACCTCAAACTTTATCTTCTGATCACAACTTGGGTAAGTTCTTTACAGTTTATTTACAACCTTTTAAAAAATATTTTGAACATTATCTGAACTCATTTTTGCTGCACACATTTTGTATATTCTTAATTAATCATGATGTGATCTCTTCTCTATTTAATTACAGCTTTATATATTAATATTTGTTGAGTTCAGATTAAATATTTAACTCAATGTGCTTTATCTTTTAAATGGTTACAGTATTTCAGGCAGTAATTTACCACAAATTATCCTTGTGCATTTCAGCTGTAAATCCATGTTAAGTAGCCTACATTTACTTATTTCACCTTCGTATTTAAATGTTTTCTTTCAACATGATGTTGCAACTCTGCCTGATATCTAGGAGTCGAATTAACCGTGACTAAAAAAAAGTTTCCACCCATGACAGGCTGACTGATGCTGTTCAAATATCCTTTTGACAGGAAACCAGCAACGCTGCGAGCGGTCTGCTCGCTTCCTGCCACCCCAGCACAGCCAGTTCCCAGTCACATAAGATAAAGGCAATACAGACTTCCTGTCACATCTCCAATGTACGTTTCTATATTGCAATTATGAACCTTTGGTGACGTGTTAGCCAGCCCAAATGATAACTCTGTGGTTGTAATTGTGTCTGGATTAGATGTCAGTATTGAAAAAAAAAGGTTATGTTCACATTGAACAGCTTCTGCAGCTTTTTAAAGTAGTATTATTGGCATTTCTTTGGTCAGTTAAACCACAAATGCCACAACAATTGAAGTGAATGGGTAATGTTGTATGTGAAGCCATCTGATGGTTTAGCTGGAAGCACCATGCACCACTATTAAGTCTTCTAATTTTCTTTTTTTCTAGATCCTTAATATAAATCAACCAATGGATCTCCTTCTGATGAGAACTTCACAACTGCTTTAAAGTACAAGGAGTTTGACTTCTAAATTCTGCCTGTAACTGTGACTCCAAGCCAGAGGGATTTTTCTACTCCACTCTAAGGAGGTAAAGTACATTTCTAAATCTAATCTGTCTCAGTTTTGTCTACAGCTTGAATGAGATGACTTCTGGTGCTCTTGGAAAGGACTTAGCCGTGGATTGAGACCGAGTTGAAACAGTCCACATAATGTTCAGCATCCGTGTCAACCTGTTTCTTATTTCCTCCGGTGACATTTTGTTAGCTTCATGGAAAAACGTGAAATTCTGACTATTTGTTCAAGAGACAGGTCCACTGAGTACAAACATATTCAAAAGAAATGAATAAATCCCAATGTGTGGCCATTGTAACACCCTCTCTCTCTCTCTTCACTTCAGGCATGGCCGACTCTGAGGACATCACATATGTATCGTCCACTCGAACCGTGCTGATCCTCTTATTCTGTCTACTAGGTCTGATTGGGTTGCTGTTCTTCTTGTACAAGCGGTTGAACAGGGAGGCCAATGGAGAATACACCGTGCGGCGCATGGTGTATAAGGAAGGAGGGGTCAGGGACCGGGTGAGAGGTGCAGCGTTAGCTCTGGAGACACGTCTCGGAGTCCAGCTGTGGCCTCAAAGTGATGCTGACGAGGATGGAGAGGAGATGCAGGAAGTCCAAGATGAGGAGGGACAGGTGGAGGAGGGTGGTAGCCAGGGGAGTGATAGCGAGGGAGACGACCAGGAGGAGGAGGAGCAGTCTGTTGGGGCTAAGGGAGGAGGAGGTGACAACTCAAGTTTGGAGTGCTTGGAGGCAGATGAGCAAGACAGACTAACGGATCAGGCGGAGGATGAGGGAGAGGCGGGGGAGAAGGTGGGAGATGGGGAAGGTACAGGTCAAGCAAGAGGGGGTGCTGGATTGTCGATAGATCTAAAGCAGTTCTCTGGAAGTGCCATCTGGTCTGAGGAACAGGGAGGTATGGCCTTAGACAGTGATGTGACTGCACTGTGAGAACAGAATAAATACAAAAAAGTTAAATTACAAGGGAGGCTTCAGAAGTAATATCACACTGAGGCCAAGTCTCCCTAATTAGATGTTGAAATATATTCTCTGTAAATTTGATTTCCTAACATGAAGGTCTAAATGCTGTTGCACACTTCCAAAACAAAAAATGAACTCTTTGTGTCATTAAGCAGTCTAAAATACTGGAATCACCCTATAAACCGCTCACCGCTGAAGACATTGTCCTCACTGGTAGCTACCGGGTTTGTCTTTATTTCACTTCCTGTTGAGGCATCAGGATAAAAATGTGATGGGTGGGTGAAGCTGTTATAAATATGCAGGAGAACAAATGGATTGCATTTTGAATGTGTGTGTGAAATTTGACCTATAAAACGGTTCAAATCAAACTTTGTATCATTTCTATTGCATGCTGTTTATTGTGGACTCCTGTGTTTTTATAACTTTGAATGTTTATTTCTAATTTACATGCAAATTAAAAACAGAAAAACAAAAATGGATTTGACTGTGTTTGTATTGTTGTTGATATCATTTGTAGAGCTGAAACATTAGTAAATTGATTGATTGATTGAGCGATCCACAGAATGTGAAGTAAACATAGATCAGAATGTTGAATGTACTGCAAAACTATAAGATTGAGCTCTGTATATCTCTTCTTTGTTGAAGGATAGAATGATGATACCATGAAATGAAAATACAATAATGTTACTTTAAACTCAAAACCATTGTCATACATGTACATTATTTGACTTACTTCCCTGTACAAACGTATTTTAACGCACTTCATGGTCGTTTTTGTTAGCAAAATATTATACTTTTCATTTTGAGTCGTTGTACACTAACAAAATCCATAAATTGGTCTTTTTTTTTTTTTACCTATGTACTACCCTGTTACTACTGTTTTACCGATTATACGACTACATTGAATACGTTAATAGATCAAAACAGCAATTGTCTTCAATGAAAGCGATCAATGGGGATGTAGCTCAGTGGTAGAGCGCGTGCTTCGCATGTATGAGGTCCCGGGTTCAATCCCCGGCATCTCCATAGTTTTACGACTCTCTCCAGGTTAACTATACTTTACAACATATCACAAGACAATATACATGTCTTAAAGCTGTTATATTAATTATAACAAATACAACAACATTTCAACACAGTTTATACTGTGAAGTGTACAATGTGCGCGTGAGATGGGACATGTTCGTGATTGGCCAGACGAAGCGCTGGCTCAAATCGGATTGGACGTTGGAGATCTTCCAGGAGCGTGTGTGTGTGTGTGTGTGTGTGGGAGTGTTTACGCAAGTGCATGCGAGTGTCAAACATTTATTTTTCACCGGCCAAATTATCTCCAGTGGTGGGTGAGAGCCACATCATGGAAGTATGCCAGAGTCAAAGTAAACACAACTGTGTGCAGTGACACCTTTCTCAAAGCAATTATGTAAACAGAAATCCGGGATTTTTACCTCAAGACTGAAGACATTCTCACAGTGACAGATGGACCATTAGGCTACTAAAGCACCCAAACTGTTCTGTGATCTGACCGGAGACACGGAGCCCATCTAACCCGGTAAATATGTCAATCATTTGCTTGCAGGAATCTCATCCTCCCTCACCGACAGGCACAGATCTAGTATAAAAAAAAACAAGTGCAAAACCCTAGCACTGCACGATCAGAGCCATTCTGCCACAGTAACCTACTTCAGGAGTGCTGCACCACCGTGAGCATCCAAGTTGCATTTTATCCTCTCACCCTAACTTGATTGTGCCGGAGAAATGATTTCAGTAGACGTCACTCATCTGCATAGGGAGTAAAAATGCAACCATCCTGCATCAAGCTTCTCGGCGCGTCTGAAACTCACTGTACCCTCGCCGTGTGATTAAAGGACCTACTAATTGCTGCATAACCGAAACTACAAACATGGAAGGTACAGTTTGCATGTCGTGTCATGGGCACAAAACAGATATATATAAATATTTATATTCACAGAGAAACACATCTGGCTTGCAAACTGTCCAAGATGGATGCAGCGCCGCTGTGCGCAGGGATGCACGGTGGAGCGGCAGCAGGTTGCCTTTAAACGCCCAATCATCCTCGCGTTTTTTTGCCTATACGTATTTGTCAGTTTTATTATTATTTTTTCTCCCTCCCCTCCCCTCCCCTCTGCAGGAGTAGGATGTTACTAGCATCCGCCGTGGTGGTATGGGAATGGCTGAACGAGCACGGACGCTGGCGGCCCTACAGCCCGGCTGTCTGTCATCACATCGAGGCAGTCATCCGGAGCGACCCGCGGTGTGGTAGTGTCGTCCTCGGCCAGGTGGACTCTCGCCTCTCGCCCTACATCATCGACTTGCATTCCATGCACCAGTTCCGACAAGACACAGGTGAGACGGCAGAGAGGCGCGCGGGGCGTTAGGTTGTAACGGCGCGGCCGGGCCTGAGGTGGAGGCCTTTTTTAAAATTTATTTTAGATTTTTTATTTTGCTCATGTGTGTCTACTTTATATCTTTGCAAACCCTGGTGTTGATTCTGCTCCAGAAGTTGATGCCCTGGTTGGTTTTGTTGCCAAGTGGCTTCTCATTTTTCCTGCAGCAATGACTATGCCATTCTTTTTTTTTTGATCAATTTAGATTCCCAATTCGAGTCTCCTTATAGGTTACACCTTTTCTGTATTATGTGACATTTCATTTAAAGGTGAGGCAGAGATGCTGTCTGCGATTCTGAAAGGTGTCGGGTTTGGTTGAAGTGAGTCATACTGGTTGGGAATGTGTGTGTTTTGCAACCGGCACATAGGCCACAGTAGCAGCTGAAGTGTCCAGTCACAGCCACAGACACCACATTTTTTTTTTTTTACTGTCATCAGCACCACTGTCTTTAATAGCAGAATACGGGCATAAGAAACCATCTTTCACAAGTCAAAGCTTCACAAGAGAGAGAGGCAGTAAGACAAAGCAGGGAGTTGTCAGGCGTCTTACTTTGGCAGAGAAGCCAACATTTCCCTCTCTCTCTCTAAACATTGGCTGACAAAAGCCTTTTTGAAGTTTGTTTTCCAAAACCCAGCAGAAGCTGAATTGGGGGGAGGCAGACAGGGTGCCCCAGTCTAAATAGGAGACGACGAGGAGGAGGAGGAGGAGGAGGAGAGGGGGGAGAGAGGGGGGAGAGAGAAGGGTGGGGAAGAATTTCAGGAGTCTGAGGTCATTGGTGAAATGGGGTCGATGGAAGCAGATCTCATGAATGAACCCCCTTGTTGTCTTGTTAAATGTCTGAGCAGACTGTGCCACACAAACTGTATGTTCCAAATACGTTTTTTTAGGAATTGTTTTTACATGATTTGTTTTTTGTGATATGAGATTATTTTTGTTGTTTTTTTCAGGGGGCATCAGAGATGTTTTGCTTCCACGTCATATGTTTGATCCTACATGTATTTAAAATGCTTGGTTGTAACAATACTACGGGAAAAATATAGATTTTTTTTTTTTACATTTCTGACAACATTGCCTTGTGATCCCCAAAAAGGTTTCATCTCACACTTGTGGATTCAAGCTCACTCTCATCTCTGGACACCCTGGGAAAGCAAACACAGCCAGCTTTTAGGTCGGATCGAGGCTGCCAGCCAATCAGAATTCAGAACACCGTGTGCTGTTACCAGGGGCAACCTGTTTGCCCAAATTCTTAGCGAGCAAACACAAACATGTTGAATTTGTTAGGGTTGCAATCTACTTGTCTGCGGTAAATAGTACCACAGCCAGTCTCTTACCTCCTATTGCAGCCACCTCTCGTCGCTCCTCAGTGAATCTGTCCAAAGTGCTTTTCACAGATTTAGTCCAAATGCAATATGACTGTATTGCTAACAGCTGTTGCGCCTTGTCAAAATCCAAACACTGTGCATTAGTCTTTTGCATTGTTCTGACCTCCTAATCCCTGCCTCAGGTACCCTTCGACCGGTACGACGTAGCTTCTACGACCCCACCTCAGCGCCGGGCCAGGGCTGGTTGTGGGAGTGGGAGAACGACGCTGGCAGTTGGACGGCGTATGACACGGCGGTGGGCATCGCCATCCAGGCAGCGCGCGATCGCCAGCAGCCCTGGCTGGACCTGGCGCCGCTGGGTTTCTGCTACCTCATTGACTTCGAGAGCATGACCCAAATCAACGGGCAGACGCAGCGCTGCCGGCGCATCCAGCGCCGCTCCGACCTGGCCTACCCGCTGGTGTCCGGGCCCCTGCCCAAATCCCAACACGCCTGGGGGCCCATGTCCATGCCCAGCCACGGAGGACTGCTCGGCGTGGACGTATCCGGAGTGGGCATGGGGATACGGATGAGCAGCGGCGGGACTGGAAACGGGAGCGCGTACCCCAGCGGGGCGCTCCCGGCCTCAGCCATCACGTCCCTGGGACAGCCGTGCGCTTGTCAGCAGTGCATGTTGGTGCTGAGCGTCAAAGCGGGCGCCATGTCCGCTCACACTCTGGGTCGGAGACCGCCACAGACCAAACCACCTAGTCCCAAAATCAGTAGTTACCCCGTCCCAGGAGGGTCGTACTCACTAACCCTCCCTCGACCTCCTTCCCTGTCTCGGTCTTACTCCCCCCACAGGACGTCCATAGTCGGGGCGACAGGTGGCTTCAGTGTGGGTGGTATGGGTGGTGCAGGAGGTGTAGGTTTCATGGGCGGCGGTGGTTTTGGCGGCGCCAGCCTCGGTTACGGAGGAGGCTTCCCCCACTCTCTTTCCCTCCTCAGCTCGGCCACCGGCGCCCTCTCCATCTCCTCCACCCGACCCCCTCCTCCAGCTCTCCCCCCTCCTCCACCGCCTCCCGCTCCGTCCTCCACCGCCCTCTCGTCTGCGGTCACCTCTCCCCCTCACCCCTCCACCTCGTCCTCCCTCTCCGCCCCCTGTTCCGCCCCTGCAGCGCCCGCTCCGGGCCTGCCTCTCATCTCCACGACTGCCTCCACCTGCACGCCGTCGCCTTCGGCCCGCGTCCTGGGTCCAGTGTCTTTGTCCGGTGCCGCTGCCTGCGCAGCCCCTCTGCCGCCCCGGTCCAGCCTAGCGGGGCTGAGCCGACCTGCGCTGCAGCGTATAGCCATGGCTCAGTCGCGTGCCCTCATTGCCTCTGGGTGAGTACACAACCACTGTAGTAGTACATCAGTTTGGTCAAAATATTCTTTTACAGTCAATGAGGTTCTATTGTCCAAGAAAAGGAAAGGAAACTTCTGGAAATAAAGTTAATTCATTGACAGTAAGGCAATATCATTAGACACATGATTAGATTAAAGCTGCTATCATCAATATTATTATACTGACACTTATTGTTTAATGTTTGATGGGACATTCCAACGACAGCCTCTCAGGCACCACATCCCTCATCAATATACTGTATATGAAGCCAAACGAGACCAACTGAACAAGAAATGTAAGACAATTCAGACAGTTGCTCTCTAATTTGTTCGAAGTCCTCATTACAGTGTCTGACATCAGCGCTCATTAGCATTCGTGAGCCTTTCATCTTTGTGACAAAAGTCCATCGGGTATTCGGACGTGCATTCACGCGGAACGAGCTCCCAGCAAGTGTTTCACATTCCAGACATTCGCCACGCAACCGCTTAATGACAGATTTACTTTGCACACTCGTACACACGGATGTACAGCACGTAGTTTGTATATCCTTTTTCATGCAAACAATTTGTCGCTCAGGGCCTCAAGAAATCTGAAAAGCCTGGAAATGCTTTGTGTGTGTGTGTGTGTGTCACATTTGAAACTTGGGCTGATTGTAAAAAAAAAAAAAAGACAGTTTTGCTTCGCAAACCACATCTCGAACCGGTGTGTAACATCTGGGATGTCCCCATCGATATGGACCGCTTGATTTTCCCATCAGTGGCGTTCCTGTATGGGAGACTTCTCCTTGAGTTTGAGCGCAATGTCGACAAAAATATTGAGGTTTTTCTGAGCCCGCCCACCTTTTAGCGGTCGAATCAAATGCCAAGGATTTTATTTAAATAAATGCGATGGTACAGCGCTCAAATATTCTGTTTCACTGGGGAATACTCACAGTACAGAAGCTAACGACGCTCCAACTACCGTTTCACTGGGATTTTAATATTCGATCCACCAGAGAGGGCAGCTATTAAAAAAGCTATTTCACTTCTTTTTTTTTTTTTTTTCTTCAGACACAAATAATTATTCAGAGCAGAATATTCTTATATGTCTAAAAACACAACAGTCGTTGGCATCAGTGTTAATGAATGAAATCCATCACAGTGTCCAGGTGTCATAGCCAGAGGCCGCTGATTAGCAAGATGTCTGGGGTCGAGGTTGGAAAGAGGTTACGGGAAGACTCGAGGACCAAGAGCACTGCTGTTCCTTCATCATTTTATCATTCGTCAGTTGTGCAGCTGGTTCTCCTTTGACGCTTCGCTGTGAGCGTCCTACGAATTTTAGCAACAGAATCCAATTATAGCCTTTCTTTTTATAACATTTCTGACAGCGACGTTTCTGGGGTGCTCTAGATTTCACTTGTTTTGCAGTTGTGAGAAGTGAATCAAACACATGCAGTCACGTTGGCATGATCTACATGGAGCTGCTTGTACTGTGAATAACAAATAAATTTAAAAAAAGACCACATTTCCGTGTGAGCAAACCCAACATTGCCCCAGTAGAGAACCTCAACTCTCTGAATCCTCACATTAGCTATCCAGCTAAGCCTCGGATTAATACCAAACACCACAGGCTTAATATTCCTGCGCCAGTAATCTGTTTTTTGTGTCGGGTGAGCTGTGTGACCGACCCATTCTTTCAACCTATCGGGTGAGAGCACCTGCTGCTGCTGCTAAAACAGCCAACGTCACAGATCAAGAAGAGTCTCTCTCTGGTCCCATCAGCCGGGGATTCTCTGCTCACCCCTCTGACGTTCGCTCTTCTTCTCTCCCTCTATTTGCTCTTAGTGCCACTCAGTGCTCCTGCTGTCATCGCCTTATTGCTTTATCCCCAAATTCATAACTGGCACCACACGGGTACCGGAGCAGAGGAGCGAAGGGGCTCCTTAAGCTGGTGGACCCAGTGGTAGAGCTCAGTACGTGAAGCTAATTAGGCTCACATTTATGTATTGAGTAATTTAATGAAGAAAACAATTGACCCTTTGAAGCATTGCCTTCATCAGTTGATATAATGTTTTTGCAGTTTGCCTATTCTGCAGGTTCTCCACTTCTCATTTGGTGTAACTGATGTTTAACTTACAGTGTTTCTAGGATAAAACTCAGTGGACACACCTGCTGTAGCAGAAGCTACCACAGAAGAGTTTTTAGGACTTTGCCAGCTGTTTATAATTCTGTCCTTCAGGACAGATTTTGTCCCCGTGGTAGCGTCCCAACCGAGCAAAACAGGTGTGTAAAGATCAAAATGAAGGCAGAGTTTGAAGATGGGTGTGGTCCAAGCAAGGGCACCGGAAGTAACAAGGTAGGAAGTGGGGAAGGCAAAAAAACAAAACAAAAAAATCATTATATTCCTCAGAATCAATAGCTCAGCGTTATATTAAGGCTTCAAAATCTAGCCACCACTTGTCTGCCAGCTGCTCGATGGTCATCTTTGTTCACCAGCTAGTTGCTAACTGTGGCTGTCTGCAGGCTGTGTCGGGTTTGTTTTTTTCCCGACAGCATTGAGAGTCAACCAAGTTGAGGGCCAGAAAATCGAAACAGTGAGCTAAAAGACATTTGAAGGCTCGGTAGAGCTGCAGTACGGTGCTAATTCTTACCGGGTTCATTGTTTAGAGCGACACCCTTTATAATTTACTCGTAAGATTAACGTTATTGATCCTATACAGATAAACCGAAGTGTCACAGCAGCAAAAAGGATATACAGGATACAGAATGCAGATAAGAAACCTTAAAGAGCTAGAATATATACACGATATCCAAAATGACGCATTAAAAAGCAAACTACAAATCGCCGTGAGACGCATGTCAACACAAACAAGCAACTAAATGAAGAAGTGAGATACATTAAAAAATGTATACTGACGATAATATCAAAAGTTTAGACTTTATCATGATTCCAAGTTGGAATATATATATTTTAAAAAGTATAACATTTGTTGTTGTTATATCATTGCAAGAGCTTGCCTGAAGTGAAACGGAGCAGATGGTTTCCGAGTGAAGTGTTCCGAGGGGTCGCTTACGTCACAGATGGTCTCAGTGATGAGAGTGGCCTTTGGTCCACACACCTGTTGTGATGCTTTCTCCTCTCACTGCACTGGTTTTGATTTCTGCAAGCGTGTCAATGTCACAAAACCTACACTGCAAAGTGTGTGTGTGTGTGTGTGTGTGTTGCCACATGCTGGCGGCTTGTGTTCCCGTCATCCAGCGGTCCAGATGGAGGTTGCTCTAATGCCACTAGATTAGCCGGGATTAAAGAAACGTGACCAATCGACACTTGTTTCCCATCCTTTCTCTGCTTTTCCTTCGCCGTCCTTTGATCTGTTTTGTCATATGACACACCAATGTCAGTCAGTTTATTATGCTCAGGTTTGACCCAGTCAGCCAGCGCGTCGCTGTGACTGTGTGTCAATGTAAGCAGATTGTCCGGTACTGTACATTTCAGTAACTCTTGACTAAGTTTCACTGTGTCACGGTTGCATCATTTATAGGGACGCATAGGATCTTCCAGCTCATGAAAACACTGTGCTAAAATGTGTTGTTGCTGCCAGAACACAAGCTTCAACTGTCAAATAATACGCCACAGTATGAATTTTGTAGAAATACAAAAACAAACATCAGTGAAAACAAAGTTAAATGAACTGTAATGAAATACAAATTACATATGTGGTGAAAGACACAGTAAAAGATTTCGAGGGAGAGTTTTTAAAAATATGTATTTATGCATATTTTTCCCATTGCACAAATCAAGAGGAGAGACTAAATGGCAAAAACAGAGGAACAGCAAGACAGACTGAAAAAAGGAACAACCCACACACATAAAATGAATGACAACAAATGAATAAATAAAGGGTAGAGGGTGGGCTGTCTTTGTGAGAAAAAATAGAATGAATAAAATACATAAAAGATAAATAGATTGATGCAAATATCTCCACTCAGTAGTCGAACACCAAAAACACATAAATGTAGCTCTTCTATTTGATTGGCCTTCTTTATTTGTTCGCATTAATCAATAGGGTCTGTGGGTTGTAAACATTACCGCTACAGTAAAAGAGAGCACAGTGAGTTCAGAGGGCAACTTCAATGGATAGCTTTCATTAATGTATTCAAATCATCCCGCCCAAATCTTAGGTTAGGATTTTGTGACAGCAGGTGTGCTATCCATCCTGTGGCAGTTCGTTCGTACTTCAACGAGTCGTAAGTGCTCGTGTCTGGCGGCCTTATGGCGGCCTGGCAGTGTGACATGGTAACCGAAAGGTAATCCCCGCTTGTGACGGATCTCTGGCCCAGAGTTTGGTCAACAGATGGAAACAGGTGGATAATCCCAATAAAAGGAGACCTGACAGCCGCACACAAACAGAGAAAGAGAGAGACAGGGACAGACGAGTGCCGGAGGAAGTGAAATACTGCGACGAGTAGAAAGTATTGCTGGAAAATCTTGTTTAAAAAAAAAAAAAAGACTATTATCAGAATTGGCACACCGTAAGTACACGCCTCTGGATACATGTGTGTTTTGCCTATGGATGAGCAGAGATGCAGTACAGCAGTGGTGAAGGATGGTTTGACATCTGATTAAAACTAGTACCCTTCAAAACATGCCTGCTGAGAACGGGCAGAATGCTCGGCCTGCGGTGCTGCCCTCTGCTTTCTGGAGAATCACACTTTATTAAGTTTTAATGTTTTCATTCGATATAGTAACTGTTTAGATTCCCAGTGCATGGTCAGTCTATGCAAATAACGCCTGTCTGGAAATGTGCTGCCAGCTACGGGGGGGCCTTGAAATCGCCCATCGCTTTGCATATTTCAGTGAACCCACAGTGTTAACATAACAGTCTGCTGCCCGCAGACCCCTGAGGCTCCGCCCCCTGCTTCCACACAGAGCTGCAAGCTTGTTTATTCAAAGTTTATTCATATTGAACGTGTTGCGTGTCCAAATTCCACCAAATTGAATAAAGCACCCCATTGGATCCCCAGCAATACACCCGCCAAGATACGCGAAGAACACACAGACAGACAGACAGACAGTTGCTTTACAGTTAGATAAGGGTTTCTTTACTGCTGTCAGAAATATTTTTGTTAAGCAGATATAAGGAGTGCATCCTTGTGCTCTTTAATTAGTTTGACCTCCCAATTTTAAGTGGAAAGTGACTTCCTTTCATCTTGAAAAATAGCGAATAGAAAAAAATAAGTCATTTGCCACGTGCCCGGTGTCTATAATGCTGCCGTACACACGATGCTAATCTTAAGCCTCACAGAGGTGGAGGTACCTGGTAATTATAGGACAGTAAGTCAAGTCGTGATGAGCAGCATCTGTTTGTTTCTCGACATGACTCGGCAAAAGCTCTTTAGCCTGCTGACGTTGAGTGAACTAGAAGCTGGAATATTCTCTGTGTCATTCCACCTGTTTACATGTGACTCGTCTGATGCATTGAATTTAGCCCGAGGTGACTAGTTCGGTTGCACGTCTGCTTTTTAGTGTGTTGGCAATCTGTAGATTAATATGTTGGTTCTCCTGTTTTTCAGAGTACCAACTGTTCCAGTGAAGAACCTGAATGGATCAAGTCCTGTACACCCTGCGCTAGCAGGTAAATACATTGATACAACCATTTTCCCCCTCATTATATTTAAATCGATCAAAAGGGCTTAATTAAAAACTTTGAAGATGCATCTTACTTCATCCAGCTCTTTAAATAAACTTTTACTTTTTACTGATTTACTATCCTACAGACGCCACATTTAATGACATTTAACCCCAAATTGAACGAGTAAATCCCCTGACCAGACCTCACATAGATGATTCCCTGGATAAAGAGCTCCTCGCTCACTGAGTAAACCCCAAATACAGTGTCTAACATTCCCCCTCTGCTGGCTGTATCCAGGCATTACAGGCATCCTGATGAGCGCGGCAGGACTTCCCGTCTGCCTGACCCGCCCTCCCAAGCTGGTGCTCCATCCTCCACCCGTTAGCAAGAGTGACATCAAGCCCATCCCCGGTCTGGGCCACTGCTGTCGCAAAACCACGAAGAAACAGGCTCGTAAAGGTGGGTTTGACCATGAAGACGGCTTACGCTTTTTCACTCTCATGCAGTCGCACCTATCGTGTGCATTCTGGTCATAAACAGATCGTTTTATTCTGTGTTTCCGTCTCGTAGGGAAGACCCCTGAGGAGGTGGTGAAGAGGTACCTTCAGAAAGTCCGCAATCCCCCAGAGGAGGTGAGCTCTCCTTTTTGGATGTTTTTTTAATTTTGTTAATTTGAAAAGACCCGTTTTAATTGACTAAACCTAAAACGCCTGTATCAGACTGGGCAAGTCATAAGTCATACTTGTCTTCCCGTCTCAGGACTGCACCATCTGCATGGAGGCCCTGGCTGGGCCATCGGGCTACAAAGGCCCCGGTGTGGGCGGCATCTCCCGGGCCGAGTCGGTGGGCCGCCTCGCACAGTGCGGCCACCAGTACCACCTCCAATGCCTCGTCGCAATGTACAACAACGGCAACAAGGACGGCAGCCTGCAGTGTCCCACCTGCAAGACCATCTACGGAGTCAAGACTGGCAACCAGCCCCCGGGCAAGATGGAGTACCACGTCATCCCCCACTCGCTACCGGGCCACCCGGACTGCAAAACCGTCCGTATCATTTATAACATCCCTCCTGGCATCCAGGTAAAGTCTTACCCATGCTTGCATGAACACTAGCTTCTAAATGATGACTACAGGGAAGCGTTATTGTATTTTGCTTGGATGATGTGATAAACTTTGCTCTTGCTGTTTAGGGCCCAGAGCACCCGAATCCAGGCAAACCCTTCACTGCCCGCGGGTTCCCCAGACACTGCTACCTCCCTGACAGCGAGAAGGGACGCAAGGTAAATGAGAACTCTTCCCTACAGTCGAACTTCCTGTATGTTTTCAAGTTAATGTGACTGGAATCTGTGATTAAGCGTCATCTTTCCTTTCTTCATCCCTTCGTCCAGGTTCTGAGGCTTCTTCTGGTAGCATGGGACCGCCGGCTCATTTTTTCTGTGGGTACATCCAGCACCACGGGCGAGTCGGATACAGTCATCTGGAATGAGGTGCACCACAAGACGGAGTTCGGCTCCAACCTGACGGGCCACGGCTACCCTGACCCCGGCCACTTGGACAACGTCCTGGAGGAGCTCAAGGCTCAGGGGATCACCGAGGAGGAGTGCCTGCCCAGAGACTGAACGGACACAATCAAAACGCTGCAGACGCGGAATAAACACACGCGATCCTGGAACGGGATCCGCAGCCGGACAGACGAATTATTAAGTCTGCTAAAAAAAAAAAAAAAAAAAATGAACAAAGGGAACTTTGACCAACAGAGGTGGACAGCAACTTCAAAAAAAGAAACTCTTTACGGGAGCGTTAGAGAAAGTGTTTCAGCAGAATTTGCTGGGAATAAGATGTCTCTCATGACTGCATGAGTCAGTTTCGATACATGGGAAAACTTTTTTTTTTTTTCTCCCAATGCAGTAACGGTGTCAAGATCGAAGATGTTATTCAGTGAGACATTTGAGACCACTGTGCACATACAAGTCAGTGTTAGATAAAAAAAAAAAAACAACAACTGTCATTTATACTGTGAGACTTCATTTCAAGAATGTAACTAAGTGAATTTTGCTGAATTGATAAAGTGTTTAGCGCTGCTGTTGCTGCTGCTATGTGGAGCTGACAGGAGCTTAAACTGAAAAGGAGTGAAGGTCTGTAAGTTGTTTCAAGTGTTAAGTCCACAAGCAGAAGAAACTTGTCATTGCAGATAAATATTTCAAATGTATAACTGGATATCTGAGCATGAATATTTGCTGACCTCTAGTGGTACTTTTCCAGAACTACATTCCTGTTTAGGTTTGATTTATATTTTATTGTATTGTTGTATATTATGACTACTTGATATATGATATTGTTTCCATTCTATCATGTTTTTTTATATTTTGATTAGACATTTTGTTTTATATGGTGTGTTTTCTTTGCATTGTTTTCAGGTGTGGGGTGAAGTTAAGATGAGCTGCTGGTGTACCAGAGTTTGCCTGACACTTTATATGCCATATACCAGCCCCCCTTTCTTCAACAAAAATCTTCTTTTTTTTTTCGGTATTTTGTATTAGATTAGCTCACAAACTGACATTCCTTAATTGTTCTGCCCTCAGAGCATGGGTGCATTTAATAGCTTTCTATGTCTTCTTGTATCTGCGTTAATGTTAAGAACTGATAGAGGAAAGGCTA